GACCAAGGGTGGGCTTTGGCTCTCTCACCCATCAGGGTATCTCGTATCATTTTTTGCAGCACCTTAGTCCCTTCCAGAGAGGCCATGTGGTGATCTCATTGCCCTCTTTGTTATTTAAGATTTTATAGCTTCAAGTCAGAATTACTTGCTTCACACTAATTGTTGTAAATAAGCCCTCTGTCACTTTTACAAATATGTGAGACAGTAGAAAGTTGAAAATTTCCAGAGGAAGATTTTTTAAAACATTTGTGTAAGCTGCACTGAAAAAGAAGCTTCTTGCTAAAGTATAGAGAGGTAGCATGCCATTTTCTACATTAGAAAAAAATACATGGTCAGTGTTCTGTTTATAAGCAGTTATTCATTTGTGTGTGTGTGGGGGTGAAATATACAAGGTAAGGATTTTTTTTTGACTAAAGAAAGTAAAAATTAGTAAAGTAAGTAAAAGCTATGATCATTATTATTCTCCTTTTCTCCTTTCTTCCATCCTTTTCTTATTCTTCTCAAATAGTTAATTATTAAAAACATGTTTTAGATGTATCTAATACATGTTAGTAGACACTCAACATGCATTTGTTTGATCTGAAATTTAAACTTTAAATAAAAATATCACCTACAATCTTACACATTTTCATTTTTACAACTCCATCCTGATTCTTGTCTGTATCAAACCTATTTTCCTATAAGTATACTCATACTGCATGAGCCATTTTGGATTTTTATTTTGGGACTACAAAAGTAAAAGATAATATTGTAGATAGTAAAGAAGATAAAGAGCTCCATGTACCAGAATGACTTAACAGGGAGATTCAGATAGGACATTCCAATTAATTCTACAAATTTATCTTTACATCAGGTTATGTGGTTAATATCCCACTATTCTTAACCATTGTGGTTTTGGTTTTTAAACACCAACAAAGCAAAACAAAACAAAACACTTTCTGTGTACTGGTCCAGTGATTTTGTAGCCACCCAGAGGAAAGAGTATACATCTGGGAACAGAGTTATAAATTCTAGTTCTAGCTCTGCCCTTTAAACTGTGTGGCATGAGCAGGGCATTAAATCCCTTAGGGCCTTTTAGAAGTGACAAAGCTCTCACCATGACTTTGTAAAGGCTATGGATGTTACATGAATTAATTTAGTTCATCTACTGCTTGTGGGGCCAGAGATAAATTTCCCAGATTTCTTATTCACACAACAGGAACAATATTATCTTCTCACAGGATTGTTGAAAGAATAAAGTGACAGAATTGTGGAGAGTGTTTTATAAACTCTTAAAGAATTGTACAGCTTTTAGGTGTTCTCATTGCTTGAGATTTTGCTTTATTCTGAATTCTTCAATTCAGCAAACATTAATTATGCCTGATCAGTCTATGAGGACAGTGTTGTTGGTTGTGAGAACTCAAAGGTGTTCAGTGGATTCTTAAGTTTCCTCTGATTGAAGTATTTGTTTAAGGTTTCTATGAAGCAATTGCTTGGGCTTTTTGTTGTATGTGGAAGGTGGAGGAAAGGGCATTGTGTTGGAAAACACTGCTTCATCCTTGGGGGACATAGTTGAACTTCTCTTGGCAGGACATGGGGAAAAGTCACCAATAATTGAGAGAAGAAAGTACAAATGGTATCTGAGGAAGATGTTTTTGGTAGGAATTAACAACTATTTTCCTGGCACATTTGTGAGTTCCAATAAATGTGCTTTCGTTTCTTGTTGTTGTTGTTTTTTTTTCTTTTTAATGTCTATTTATTTTTGAGAGAGAGAGAGAGACAGAATATGAGTGGGGGGGGTAGAGAGAGAAGGAGACACAGAATGTGAAGCAGGCCTCAGGCTCCAAGCTGTCGGTACAGAGCCTGACATGGGGCTTGAACTCACAAACCGGGAGATCATGACCTGAGTGGAAGTCAGATGCTCAGCTGACTGAGCCATGTAGACGCCCCTCTTTCTCTGTTCTTAACTCCTGCTCATGTCTCTGCCTGGGGAGACCTCCCATTATTCCATCCAGAATCTTCCATAAAGCCATTCGTTGGCTACCAACCTGATGTACTCTACCTCATTTGCACTCCCCCCATAGCACTTTGGTAATAAGACCTTTAGAACCTGTATTGTATTCTGCCTTTACTAAACTATAAAATCCTTGAAGGAAAGAGGTTTTTATTCATTTTAGTATTCTAACCTTAAATTGCCCAGATTCATGTGTCACTTGTGGCCTCAAACAAGTTACTGAACCTCTCTGGGCCTCACTTTGCTCATCTGTGAAGTGGGAATAACAACAGGACCTACACTATAGGATTTCTGTGGGAGTAAGCTCTCAATGAACACTGGTGTTACAAACCCCTGTAACTCAGACACAAGTTTCTGGATCCACTAAGAATTGGGTACCCTGGCAGATACTGAACGGGTCAGCTTCAGGAGGCCTGCTCTGGGACTCAGAGTCATGGGCTGGTTGGGCTCTAAGACCTCCCTTATGTTCCTCCATGTCTGGCCCAGAACCTCTGACAAAAGCATGATGACCAGGGACTGACAGGGCTGTTATTGCATCTCTCTTCTTTTCTTTTCAGAATTCTTACTGAGTGCACCTGGAAATAGGAGTGCTGCATGATTGTGAGTGGGCAGACCCCTTATTTCTCTGCATGCCCCCTCTTGGTCCTGCCCCTTCACATTTCCTTCTCAACTATAATGAATTTAAAAACTTCAAGGGAGCAAAAAGGAACGCCAAAGCTCAGTCAGTGGGGCAGGGAGAATAGGGATGAATGAAGGGCATGCAGAGATCAGGGAATAGGGAAGCAGGAGCAAGGTTCAGAAGTCATCAAAGAAAAAGATGACAACAGAAGGGACAGGAAGAGTGGGGAAGGTTGAAGGTAGGAAGGTAGTTGTCCCAGCTTCCCAGGAGGTAGTCAGGGCAGGTGTTTGCTTAGAACCTGTGGGCTTTCTAATTCTCAGTCACAGCCTTTAGGAAGTTGAGTTACTGTTCAGGAGAGAATCCACTTGCCAAATGGTGGTGCCTCAGTCACATGTTCTGAGCCAGCAGTGGATGACTCCTCCCTTTGTCTAACAAAAATATAAGTATTAAGCTGCTAAACTCAATATTGAATTTAATATTAAATTTAATATTAAATATTAAATGTTGAAGCAGACTTACTGTACAGTTTAGAAGAGAAGTTGCTCTAGATACAAATCAAGATCTTTCTCTGTACTTCATAACTATTTTCAGTCACAGATGATGATCGAGAATTCTGGATTTTGTGTAAAATGATTCTATTAAGCTCAAGGGAGGAGAGGCATAGGCCCAAAGAACATGAAGTTATACTGCTATCATATTCACTGATATTTAAATTGTGAGAAGTAAGACCAAGGTAAATTTTCAAAAACATTTTTTTCTCTTTAAAAACACAGTGGGTAATTTTGGCTCAAGAATGGTGTACAACTCTTTACATATTCTCTCTATGGTGGGTTTGCTGTAGGCACGTTGTGATTAGTCAGAAAATAATTTTTGCCTCCTCAGGCCTCTATGACTCTTGTATTAGAGCTGAAGAGGAGTCTTGATAATATAAATCCATTTATAGGTTTAGGGGCTTGTCACTGAGTTGTTTCTTAATTCTGTTTTGTCACAATTGAAACAAAACTGAACATGCACATGTATACCCACACACAGACATCCCTTGCCTATATTTGAGTTGGAAATATAAAAGCTTGAGGCAATGAAATGAGTGGGTTGATTATAAATTTAATCTCCAGGACTTGGGGTGCTTGGGCGGCTCAGTCCGTTAAACATCTGACTCTTGATTTTCTCTCAGGTCATGATCGCATAGTTTGTGGGATCGAGTCCCATTTTGGCTCCAAGCTGATAGTGTGGAGCCTGGTTGGGATTCTCTTTCTCTTTCTTTCTTTCTTTCTTTCTTTCTTTCTTTCTTTCTTTCTTTCTTCCTTCCTTCCTTCCTTCCTTCCTTCCTTCCTTCCTTCCTTCCTTCCTTCCTTTCTGCCCTTTCCTTCCCTTCCCTCCCCTTCCCTCCCTTCCCCTCCCTCCAAACAAACATTAAAAAACCCAAACCTCCAGAACTTGAGAATGAGACAATTCTAATAATTGAAAAAACAAAGGTAAGAAAATTGCACAGATTTGGAATGCCAATTGTACATTCAAACAGTGCAACACGCTTGTTAGGCTAATGTGTCAAAGTAATTGTTAGAATTTTAGTGAATTCATTTTAGATCTTCAATTCTTTCAGAATTTCATAAAAACCCTTATTTAAAAATGAAATTTGAAATGAATGATTCCCCAGTATAGGAAGCAGCCAGAATTCTAAAACCGAATTGTGAAAGGTCATTTTTAAAGCTCAAATGGACAGCTGAACAGAATGATTTATTTCTGTGAAAGACCGACTACTTAGTTTCTGAATGTTGTCTGCTGTCACTTAGAGCATTTTCTATTCTGTCTTGCCTCTTGCTTAGCCCGTTTTATATTATCTTTTCCCTTCTTTATAACCATCATCTTTTTCTTTTTTTTATGTTTTTATTTTTTTTCTTTTTTAAAAATTTCCGTGCCTGCCTTATTTTTTCTGTGATTTTCAATTTCTTCCTACTTTACTTCTGTCTTTTCCCCATCAGCTTTGCCTACCCCTTACTCTTAAAGGATAATACTAGGGAATTAAAATGATCTTACTTATTGGGGAAAGCTGTATATTTTCCATTAGTAATTATCAAGACAAGAAAGTAGAATTTTATATATATATTTGCAAACAAAAAAGGAAATGAAGTGGCTATAAATTTATATGATACCCCCTAGCCCTTGCTTATATTCTGATATTCAGTGGGTATGCTCAACAGGAACAGAGAAGTAGAGGGAAGGTTGTATTTAAGACATGTAGCAGAAAAGTGGAACAGGATTTTACCTCTCTCATTTTTTTTCCTAAGGCACTCCTGGCTCATTAGTAAGTAGTGGAGGGATGATCCAACATAGAAGGCTTTCAACCACTCTTCCCTTCTCAAGTGTTCTTGATTTTTTTTTAAATAGGCTGATCTGCTTCTCCTATCAAGTAGTGAGCCACATGGCCTCTGTTATATTGAAACTGCTGAGCTTGATGGGTAAGTTATTAAAGAATAATGAATTAGATTGATTTTTAATTTAACAGTAATAGCTTTAGGAACAGGACTTAATCTAAATCTTATTTTTCACTTAATTTTCTTGGAACAACTAGGAATATAACTTGCAAATTCTATTTGTTAATTACTTTGTGGATCTGTAGAAAGCTCTTTTCTCTTGAATTTATTTTCTTTGAGAAACAGTGAGTTAAATAGATCTATGTCTATTTGGCCTGGGTGGTCCTACCCTTGATTTAGGCAGTAGCTAAAATAGTGCTGAGAGGGAAATTTATGGCACTAGATGCATACACTTGAAAAGAAAAATAGAATCTCAAATCAATAATGCAATATCCCATCCCAAGAACCTCTAAAATAACAGTATAAACCCAAAGCAAACAGAAGGAAGCAGATGAAGACAAGAGCAGAAATCAGTGAACTTGAAAGCAGAAAACAAAAAGAGAAAAATCAATGAAACAAAGACAGAGCTGATTCTTTGAATACATCAATAAATTTGATAAACCTTAGGAACACCGAAAAAGAAAAAAAAAGACACAAAATAGCAATATCATGAATGAACCAGGGGATATTATGACAGATCATGAAGATGCCAGAAGGTTGAGAAAATCCTCCAAGCAGTTTTATACATACATATTTAACAACTTAGATGAAAAAGACCGCTTCATCACAACACAAAGTACCACAACAAACTCAATGTGAAATAGACAATTTGAATAGCCCTGTAACTTTTAAGGAAATTGAATTCAAATGTAAAACATAAAGCTATAAAACTTTTAGAGAATACCATAGGAGAAAATCTTCAAGATCTAGAGCTAGTCAAAGAGGTCTTAGACTTGACACAAAAAACATATAATTCATAAAAGGAAAATTGGATAAATCAGACTTCCTCAAATTAAAAATTGTAACTGTGCAAAAGGCCTTGTTAACAGGATGAAAAAAAACAAACTACGGACTAGGACAAAATATTTGCAAACTGTCTGACAAAATATTTTTATCTTGAAAATTTGAAAAATGCTGAAAACTCAATATTAAGAAAACAATCTAATTAGTAAATTAGCAAATGATATGAAGGGACATTTCACCAGAGATGACATACAGATGGCCAATAAGCACATAAAAAGATGTTCAACATCATTAGTCCTTTGGGACATTAAAATTAAAACCACAATGAGATGTCAGTACATACCTATCAGAATGGCTAAAATTAAAGATAGTGACAGCTCCAAATGCTGGCAAGGATTTAGAGAAACATGATCACTCACATATTGCTGATGGGAATGTAAAATACTACAATCACTCTGGAAAATAGTTTGGCAGTTTCTTAAAAAGCTAAACATGCAACTACCAGACAACCCAGTAATTTCACTCCTGTACATTTATACTATGGAAATAAAGACTTAAGGTACACAAAAACTTGTACACAAATGTTTATGGCAGCTTTATGTGTAACATCCAAAAATTAGAAACAACGTAGATATCCTTCAACAGGTTGAACAAACTGTGGTATATCCATACCGTAGAACACTATTGAGCAATAAAAAGGAATGCTATTGATGCATTCAACAACATGGATAAATCTTCAGAGAATTATGATGAGTAAAAAAGCCAATCCCGAAAGGTCACATCCCAAAGGCCCATTTATGTAGTATTCTTGAATTGGCAAAATGATAGAAAGGGACCACTGATTAGTGGTTGCAGGTGTTAAAAATGGGTTAGAAGAGGCAGGGAAGTGTGTGTGGCTACACGTGATGTCAGTGTTCCCCATCTTGACTGTATCAGTGTCCATTGTGATATTGTGACATCATGATATCGTGACATTTTGCAAAATGTTTCTGTTGGGGAAACTAAGGAAAGGGAATACAGGATCTTTGTGTATTATTTCTTATGCTGAAAGTCATTTTGAAGTTTGAAGCCAAGATACTGAGGCATAGGAAGAAGACTATGGCATGACACAACACTATTAATTAGGAGTCTTGGGGATTACTTTTCCCTTTGAGTTTACACATCTGAAGATGGACGTGAGATGCTGGAGAGAATTCTGAGGAAGTAGCTTAAAAAGATGATAAACCTTGATGAATGACACGCTGTGTAGAGCTAGGTTAAGGAACGATGGCTGTCTTGCTTAACTGGTGCCACTGCCTAATATAAGTTTGCTTAAACGATGGGCACATTGGCCCTTTGGCCTCAGTGCCATTATCTCACTCTTGTTCTTGAAGCCCAGCTCAATTTCTACCTCAGTTTGAAGTTCTTCTTGAGTATCTCAACCCCTACTCATTTCTGCCTCTTAGGAGTTGATAGATTTGGCAAAGACTGTGCCATGAGATTAGTTTTAAACAAGGTAACTGCAATTATATATCCAACTTAGTGTCTCCTACAGAAGGCTATTTCACCAAGGGGGTACTCCTTGAATTGGTTTCATGCTGTCATATCATTGTGAAACTCCTTTATGGGAATTTTAGATTAAATGCCCTCTCAAGTACCTACTTCTTGATTCTCTGAATTCAGTTATTTCATGGTTTGTCATTCCAAATGGTGATATTTGCTTTTTACCTACCACTTCTTTCCCTAAAGAGAACAGTAACCCTTGTGGGGCAGCACTGAATCTCATGGGTGACTATGGTATGTATTCAATCAGTATTTGCGGACTGAGTGAACTCACTACTAAACATTTCCACAAAAGAACTCTGACCGATGATGTTAAGCTACAGTAGAAGAAAACTAGGTTGAACTCAGTGAGAAAACCAGCCTGTCAAGCCCTTACATGCGAGATGTGAGTAATGGCCATACAATCTTCACAACTGGTCATTTCATGAGGACCACAGGGCCATCTGTCCAATGTTATCTGTGGTTCCGCCTGAAAGAAGATGACCAGCTCACTACGACCTGCAGAGTTCCTGTCTGGTTGTATGATTCCAGACTTCTGGGATTTTGGGCTTGATTCTCCACAGGGCAGAAAGCTATATTCCCCTTCCCATTTAAATTGCAGCTACTGTGAAATTAGCCATGACCATCTTTTACAAGTAAAATTCTCATGTAGATAGTAGACTCCAGAGTGATACTGGCCTCCTTTATTTGGCAACTGTGTTCCCATTCCTAATGTGTTTTGTAACTCATGCATGATGTCTGAGTAGGTTCGAATGAAACCATATTTATTATGTACTCTGTTCTTTCAAATAACAAAACAGATTACTGTGTTGTTATGCAGATGTGCCATGGGTGGAATGCCAACTCTCAGGAGCATGCAAAGCCCTGTCCACTTTACTGAGACATTGTGAGAGGTGTGAATGACATTTGAAGGGAGTTTCTTGAATCTCTTATGTTGGGTTTTGCATGTGCTGCACCCGCCTGATTACTTTATGTAAGATGCTATTGGGCTGTTCCATGTAAAAATTCATGTTGTGTCAATTAATTTCATAGGGAAACGAACCTGAAAGTCCGCCATGCGCTATCAGTTACCTCAGAACTTGGAGCAGATGTTAGCAGACTTGCAAAGTTTGATGGTAAGTGTTTAAAACGGACAAACAAAAATCACAAAACCAAAAAGTAATGTAATGAAACAATTATCTGAAATTTAATTCATGTTTCTTTTTACTTGGAAGGACATAAAATTCTGCAGGTATCAAAGCCTGTAATCTCATGCAAAAGAGTAAAAATGTTTACCAAGGGGAGAATGGCTTTATTAGTTCATTGTTCATTTCATCCTTGTTTCCTCTTCTGTAGACCTCATTTCCTCTAGTCCCACAATACCCTTCCCTTGCCTGACCTTGGCCTCCCTGGGGCCCTGTGCAGATTTGCTGTGGATGAACACAAGCCATACTTGTACTTCTAGCTCTAGGTCTAACCATTCATCTATTTTTTGGCTCCATGACAAAGACCAAATACTAGACTGCAAAGTTTGCCAAGAAAATAATCCAGCCTCATATATTTCTGTATCTTGCCTGGCATAATGTCTTAAAGGTAGTAGGTGTTCAGGAAGAAAATTCTGATTTATTAATAAGTCGGTCAGCTGTTGCTCTTTGAGACCATGGTTTCCTTATCACAACTTTCACACCACTCAACCCAGTCCCTTCTTCTCAGCATGGGAAACCATCTCCTCTGCCTGCTCTGTTCCACCTATGTCTTGTTATTTTCTGTTAAAGTTGTCACAGAGAAACAAAATCCTTCAAGAGTAAAAGGAAAGAACCATTAACAGTAGGGCTATAGGCACCAGAATAGGCTATGGGAGAATCTTTGGGTTCAGTGGTCTCTTGCTTTACACATTGTATGTCTGTCCTTGAACACAAATATTTCCATTTAGATTGGTTTTATTTATTAATGAATCTTTGAGTTTGAGACTGTCTTCCAAATATTTTCTTTGGAGTCTGTTTAAAGGAAAATGTGGTCAGGCGTCCTAGCATGATCCTATGGGGTAAAGCACTGGTGAATTTTAAATTGTCAAATTTCCCCAGTGCACCGCTTAGAGTTTATATTGCCTGTACTTTGCATTTGCTTATAAACTCTGTCTAGAGGCTGTTAATATTTTCATCTCTATTAAATGTGTGCTGTTATAATAAATGTTTGTAGAAAAAATATTCCTCCAGTTTGAGATTTAAGTCAGGGGAATAGCCAGGAAACTTTAAATGGCCCAAGAAATATTTTGATTGGAGTAAAACAAATTATACATTTTCTACTAAGTAATTTTTTCAATGAAAATTTACTGTTCTTTGAATCCAAGGAAAGTAAATTCTTTTCATGAATCAAAATACTTGCTTAAAATATTTCATAGAATATTTATGGAGTCCTAAAAGGGCAACCTAAATATAATTTACCATTACTCATTTCTTTCCTGGCAGAATTGTACCTTTATTCCTCTATCAATCTATGAGGAGGTACAAGTTCATGCTTTTTAGTCTTCTTTACCATAAAAAAGCAGAAAATTATTGTTATAATTTCCCAGTTCACTTTTTTCATACTGTGATTCAGTTCAGACACTAAGAAATCTTAGTGGTGTAAACAGTAAAAGTTTTTTTCTTGTGCATGTCACATTCTGATGTAGGTCAGGCGGCCTTTTCCATCTTCTAGCCATGGTGCCTAGACTAATGGCCTCTAAGGTCACCACACTAAAGCAAGGACACACTGACTTTTAACTGCTTCCTTTCACATTTTGTTGACCAGTGTGAGTCACATGGGCCTGACCCAAATGCAAGGGAGGCTGGGAAATAACAAGCAGATACATTTGTTGAGTGCTGTCTTTACCATACCCTCCAAGAATTCTGATCACAGATCAAGGCCAGGATAGTGCATCAAGGGCCAGGCTGGATTAGGTTGATTTCTTACATGCAACCGTAGGAATGGGGCCAAGAATCCTCCTTCTCAGTCAGAGTATGACTCCTCTTACTCTCTATCTCTTCTACCCTGTTTGGCCTTTTCTTTTTCTCATAGCACATATCACCATCTGGCATACTCTATAACTTATTTATTTTCTGTTTATTATTTATTGTTCATCTCTACTTGCTGCAGTGTAAGCCACATGGGGATCTTTGTTTTGCTCACTGTTATATGCCAAGTTCCTAGAACAATGCCTTGCACATAATAGGTGCTAGATAAACACTTGTTCAGTGTTTATGAATAAATGGTTGCAAATGCCAGAAATGGGGGGCAGGATCAACATGAGGCCCCAGAAAGACAGGGGAAGGCAAAGGAAGGGCCTAAGGTTAAGTGATTGGGAATGGTGGGTGGAAGAATGGGGTGAGGTAGAAACTTCCTGATGGGAACTTGAAGGATGAAGCAAGAGTGCTGGGTACCCTGCTCCTGGAGGGCAGGTGGCTGAGAGAGGGCTTATCTGTTGTGGTGATTTTATAAGATCTTCATCTCAGAATATTTTTTCAAAAAAATTTAACACATAGGCACCACATTTAAGTCAATACAAGTGGTGCTGCTCAGGCTGAAGCCAGAAGACATTTCCTCACCTAAAATAGTTTCTTTCATATAGCTGGGGTATCCTGAAAGGTTAAGGGACTTGCCTCTTTATGAAAACAGTTTTTAAAAATATTTCATACAATTTGTTTCTAAAGTACATTAATAATTATTACATACTAGATGTGGCTTGAATTTGCTTCATGGAGCATAAGTAACTCATCAAATCTTTAACATAATTATTTTCTCAAAGGCAACACAGACCTCTCTATTTAGAAATCATTTATACTTAAACTGTGGTCACTTTTCAGTTTAGAACTGAACTAAGCACCAGATTTCTGTTGAATTTACTCTTTTGTTCTTAAATTTTGTGTTGAATTTCAATCTAAAATTTTAAGTTTAAGGCAATATATTGAATTGAACTGTATATTAAAATATGATTTCCTATTTCCAAGAAAGCATCTTTGAATAGCTAGAGGGATTAAGGGATTAAACTAGACACAATATACAAATTATATTTTCCCTGTTAGCAGCCAAATTTAAAGACCAGAAAGGTGATGCAAGATGTGGTATGGAAAGTCTTTGAAAGTGTTGGGATAGTTAATAAACACTAAATCCTTCCCATTAAAGCTCTTGCTTTCTTAAAGCCTTCAACTTTTCCTCTACTCCATTCTTTCCAAACCCTAGTTTAGACATGTTCATTTCAGTCTCTCCCTGCCTCTGACACACACATTCAAACCCTCTATACTATAAGCACACTTTTCTCTACCCATTTCTCTCCTCTCTTCCCTCCATTTCTTACTAATCTATTTCCATCTTCCTCTTCCACCCTTTGTGTTAGCTTACATGTGCTATCTCCCAGCATACATTATCTCACTTTCTGTAATTCTTCACCTCTTGTTTTCATTGCTCTCTCCATATTAATTAAGTAATGAAATCCATTTATTAAGCATCTCCTAGGCACAAGATGCAGTAGGAAGTGTGTAGGATTAGAAGATATCTCCACATGTATTATCTAGTTTCCTTTGATACCTTTTCTCCTCCATTCCTTTCTTAGCCCCTCCCCTTTTTTTGTCTTTATTCACCGTTGTCATAATGGTTATCACTAGATTTCAGGTTTTCCTCTGATGACTAGAAGAACCTTCCTTGAGTCGTGGGAATTGAAACCACATATTGCATCCTTTAGTTTAAGCTAAAAGCATGATATCAACATAGTGTACATTTGGAAGTGCCCTGCCTAGCTGTGGCATGGTCTAATAGATGACACAGACATGTGAGGCACACCCTTTCCCATGCTCTCTGTCTGTGCTAAGTATATCTTTTAGCTTGTGACTTCTGGGCAAATCTGGGTATGGTGTTATTTTTGCTTCTAGTTACTGTGTGGTTTTTCTTCTGAGACTTTGCCAAAATACTTTCTCTAGCACCAAACTACAGTTTTTTGTTTTTGAATCATAAGTGCACATCTTCCAAGTATTTGAAGACCTGAGTTTCCCACTCATATTCCTAGAGAAGTCCTCATGGGGGACACCAAGACTCAAAACTGAGATGGGTAGGGCCTTAGGATATCCCTCATAAGTCTTCCTGCCTCCTCACTTTTGCACCTAAACCCGAGGACAGTGTCTTGCTAGTAACCTCCTTAGGCATGGCATGAAACTTTCATTCATTCTTTCATTCATTCACTCAGTCATCTGTCCATTTACTCAGTAAAAATGTATTTAACACAATGACCAGGGGCTTGCTAAGCCTGCAGATACAGTGGTTAATAAATCAGACCTAGGCCTTGCTTTCACAGAGCTGATAGCCCGGCAGGGAAGACAGACTTTTGAACAAGTGCTCCTTCCCAAAGAATGAGCCAAATTTAGTTTGGCAAAGGTCCTACAGTTCTCAGGCCTTAAGCATGTTGTTGACACATAAACACACTCACTATATACCAGGGATTGTGCTAAGTAATTGTACACATTATCTTATTAAATCCTTATAGCCTTGAGAGGGAGAGATTATTACTGCCTCCAATTTATGGGCAAGGAATTTGAGATTCAGAAAAATTGAATAATTTTCCCAATGGCACATGATTACTAAGTGGAGGAGCCAGACTATGAGCCCAAGACTGCTGGCAAAGCCTATTTTATGGAAGGCTACAAGAGGCTGTGAACTACAAGCAGAAAGTCAGCATTGGAGAAGTAGGGGAATTAGCATGACAACCTAGCTCCTGATCAGGATAAGAAATAAATTTTAAGAATACTCTAAATTGAAAGGCACAAAATTAATTACCAGAGATCAAGTATACCTAGGACTCAGATGACATCATCATATTTTTAAAAAGCAGCAATGTTCTCAGTGATCTTGAATGTCAGGATCCCTGACAAGAGTTTATAGAAGAGTTGGCTAACTATAGAGACCAGTACATGCAAGACAGTGTTTTGGGTTTTGGTAGGTAAATCTATTTATTTAAAAAATTTTTATATAAATGTTTTTATACATTTCTAACATCAGAAAATAATTGATAAATAGTCTGTTGAATTTTGTAAGGAAAAATAAATAAGTTGATCTAATATTATAACAAGTCTAAAAATAGAGCAGGCCTTGATTTTTCATGTTAAAGTTTTACGGGAATTGAAAAGCTTTTTATAAGTAAGTAGCTGGGATAGCTTTCAGTTATACATTTGTAGACTGGACATTTTTATGCCTTGGGGAAAGTGCTGGATATAAATTGTGCAAATGTGTTTAAGAATCTGTTGCATATTGTTACTGACTGGACTGAGATCTGTTTTTTTGCAGTTTATGACAAGTTTACATATTTTGTATGACTGTTAATACTGAGTTCTGAACCAGGGAAAGGTTGACTCTTTATTTCAGGAATCTTGGTGTATTTTATGGTCCTTTATAAAGAATAGCATGTGTGTAATTAAAATACACAAAAACAAACATCTCTTTTTTGTTAAAAAAAAAAAGGCTTGGTCAACATCTTATGACTTTTTACTTACCAGATAGTTTCCCATTCACCTGGACAGAGCAGCCCAACAGCATAGGTGATATGATTGTAGGAGACATATATTCCATCTAAAGGCAAGAAGAATAGCTTCCCTTTTTACTGCTGGTATTGATATGGCTATTATGGTAGTGATGATGGGTGGCTGAGGCTTGAAGGTTGAAGAATGAAGAGGCTTTAGAAAATAGGAAGGTGACACTCTTTTTTCTAAGAAAAAAAAATGTATCACATCATCAGGGCAATAATTAATGGTCAGTCTCCTAAACTCTGAGAAACTCTTGGCTGGAGAAACTCTTTAACAGCAATGATGATGTCTTACTCAGTAGATAATTTGTCTTATTAAAGAGTTGCAGTGCAGATAATCAAGAAATAATGCTAATAATAATATACATCACGAAAGCCAACTTCTCTGGAGAATCATGGAATATTGGGTATTGACTTCCATTTTCATGATAAACTATAGATTTCCACTTGGAGGTAAATGCTTTAGGTGAAAAAAGCTATTAGGTTGGTTATTAACCAACAACCCAGATGACTAAATTTAGAATCCTGAGGAAGGGTGAGAATAAAATCTTGTGGATTTTGTCTAGGATGGACCTAGAACATTTCTGTGTGACTGTGAACTGGGTGAATTGCTATCTGCTTTCATATCTGTTCTCCTCAGAGGGGAAAATGTAAAACTAGCTAGTCTGATTATATTTCTATCTCCTCATTGACATGATCTTTGTCCCAGTTGTTTCATTGCGCATTAAAGATGACTTTGTGCTCTAAACATGCTTATAGTGAATAACTATCTGAGAAAAAAATACTATTTTTCCTAAATTGTTTTCTCATTCATTGTCTAACTGACTGTTTACTGCCTCCAACTCTTTTCCAGTACTATTAGCAAAAGGAAGAAGGGTCCTAAAGTTTTTCCTTAGTCTTTATTATGCTTTATTGCTAGGGTACCTATTTGTTTGCTTCTGATGTGCTTTAAGGTTCCCCCTTTCCCCCCCTAGAGTGTTCAGATATGTTTGTATCTTGTTAGAGTTAGGTCAACCTAAGCCCATGATGGTGGCTAGCCTCCTAGGTCTTCCACTCCTTTTTTATCATTATCACCATGGAAATAAATCCACTTCTTTCATTCATCTTAAATCTACTCTAGCACCCATCTTAATTCCCACCTTCTCTTTGGAAACCATAGGATTTTTTTTTCCATCTCTACAACAAATATGCACTAAGATCTTATTATGTAGGCAGTATGGTAGGCTATGGGGATA